CTGTAGAAGTCCACACAAGAGATTGTAAGTAGGATATATCCCATGGCACAGGAAGTATGGAGAACCAGACGCTTTTATATGGTTCAAGATTTTGGTGGTTGTTCTATGATTTTTTTTCTCCCTTGATGTACATTTTTGATGTTCTCTTATTGACCCCTTTATTGCTTTTTAGTCTAAGTTAGTGATTTTTCAAGTGCAATATAAATTTTTTGATGTTGAATATTGACCTTATTTTATTCCTATTTAAATCATGTTAATGAGATCTCTTAATGTAAATTTTTGATGTATTTCCCCCTAAATATTTGTGTTTGTCTTGTCTTGTATTTTTCCCCCCTTTTTTGGACGTACTGTACTGTATTTTGAATGTTTTTATTAATTCTTGTACTGTAAATTGTTTCATCCAATCACTATATGTATGGTTGCAATACAGTTGAATTTGAATTTGTATGTAAAAATTACATTTTAGTAGGATAGGATATCTCTGGAAAGTACCTTTGTTACAGCTTGTTATATTTTGTCTATGTACAAAGAGACCATACTCACATCAACATGATGTAAGATACAATCTCATTCTCCATTCAAAGAATACTTACATCTATAAATATTTCCATTATTTGTAAAAACCTATATACATTTAATTTGAAATAAATGTTATTTACTGTCATGTTATTTTCTTACGTTTTTGAATTTCCACCAAGAGAATTTTGTAACAGGTACGTCAGTTTACTGTTCCGGTATGGTATATGGGACTCTTTGTTGCCAAGTGACATGATCACATTTCCAAGGTTACTCAAACTTTTGTTGATGTTCTTTGTCTCCCGTAATCGCTCTCCGCTTGATCCTGAACTAGTAAGACGCTCACTGCCAGCTAAATCAACAAGATTCAAAGTGCCTATGGAAAAACCGAAAAAAATTAAAAATTGTAAATGTGTTAAGCTCTCTTCAATTGAGCTTTTACGCTGTAAAAGGCTATTAAAATATGATCCTATAAATAATAAATTAAACATACAACAGTTGTTATTATGAGGAGATTAAACCATTTCAAAAATCTAATACAGTATTATATTACTAGAGATGCAAGATTAATAGAGGGTATACTAATATTTAAACATTTAGTGTATTCCATTTTTACAAAAACTTACTACATATTACAGGAGTAATTTTATTCAGTGTTTGATATTTTTTCTATTTATAATAAACTGTTTTATATGTATTACGTTCAAAGGGAACTACAGAGATGATATGTGATGTTTTTCTAGAAGGGATTTTTGATGTCATTTAGTAACAGAATCAACTTTAAAATCATTTTTTGTCATGCTGTTAAACGGGAAAAATCGTAATGGCCAATAACTTCATAAAAAATTGCGATTTTAAAGTTGATTCTATTACTAGTGACATCAAAAATCCCCTCTAGAAAAAAAAAATCATCTTTCTACTAGTTCCCATTTAGGAGAAAATCAATGAGATGTAATTAAAATTACCAATATAAACAGATTTGCAAAAACATTGCAGCAAGTTTGAAAAAGATAATTGAAGCGTTCTCACCTTCACACTCTTCGGATGTTAGGTCATTAGAACCTGTCAGCTTCAAACGGAACACACTGTGCGACCTTGATGAATGTTCATTGCAATTTGTTGCTGCAACTGACCGATTACAAGAAGCCTTCTCCAACAATTTCGCCACCTATATTAATTTATTTTATAAACACAAACAAAATTAAAATAATTTACCTATTTTAACGTTAGATTCATTCACTAATTGCAAATAGTTTAAATAGTAAGTATTCTAAATAAACATTAAAATAGTTATAAATAACTATTTTAAATAACGAAATGTTATTTAAAATGTTCTAACTACTGTCTTCTTTAAAGAAACACATATTACAACAATTAATTATATTATTAATCACTGACATAACACAAAGTAATATCCATGATACCACACACTTTAACTAGCATTCAAGTCAGGCTCCGGAGGAAAACAATTTTTTGATATGTTGTAGAACTGATTTTTCTAAGACAGAAAAAAGTTGTTTGACGAAAAACTGGGGAACGGTGAATGAGATACAGATTTTTTGATATTTAAAAACTGGGGAAAAAGGGGCGTAACTGCCCATTTTTACACCTTATTCCCCCAGTTTTTAAATATTAAAAAATCTGTATCTCATTTACCGTTCCCCAGTTTTTCGTCAAACAACTTCTTTCTCTCTTGGAAAAATCAGTTCTACAACATATCAAAAAATTTTTTTCCTCCGGAGCCTAACTTTCAATATAATATTAGATCATAAATTATATAATAAATTATTATTATTATTATTATTATTTTTGTTTTACATTTTATCATTGAAAATTTAAAAATGTGTACTGACATAACACAAATATCCATGATACCACACACTTTAAATAGCATTCAATATTATAGTAGATCATAAATTATAATAAATTATTATTATTATATATGGCAAAGACAAGCCAAACCAGTCACTCGTCGTAAAAATTGATTTTGTGTTATTAATACAGTGTTAGAGAGTAAAATAATAGCTATAAAATGGTAAAAAAATCATTCAAATCGGACATTTCCTTATGAAGTTACAAGCGTTTAACCACACAGCTGTTTAAAGAACAATATATGAGAAATCAGCCTTTAAAGTTTATGATTTCAGGCATTTCTCATGCAGAAACTATCTTTAAATCCTTATATAAGTGTTGTTTTAACATTGAAAATGGGGAAAATAACAGCATAGGATGGTGTGTAGATATATAGTGCAATAAAATAGATTTTTTAAAATTTGACATTTTAGCATGTTTTGGCCATTTTCTCTGAAACACGATTTGCGACGAGTGACTTGTTTGGCTTGTCTTTGCCACATATTATTATCATTATTATTATTATTGTTGTTGTTGTATTATATTATTGAAAATTTAAAAAGCAATATACCTGTTTCTCAGATTTGACCTCAACCAAAGTGAGGTTAGTGACCTGGGCATCTGCCTTGATGTCATGCTTAAGTTTGTCCTCTCCATTTACCAGCAAATCACGGATCGTTTCATTGTATATTTCTAAAAAAGATGCTTCCATGGTATACTGTAGAAACAAAGGAATCACCTTACATAGTGTACTACCATTAAGCTTCTAAGTCTTGCTATTTACTTCTTCCCACATCTTATCTTGCATATGTCAGTTAGATTCAGGGTAGATGTAAGGGCTCAAGCATGATATAATGGGAAAATTTCTTATTTTCCTTACAATGTGGAGTAACATATATATTTTTACTACCTAAAAATGTGATGCAAAATGACTTAATGGCATGCGACCTATTATAACGACCTGCTGCATTGCTAACTCACCTTCCACCCGTTAGCTTTTAAATCTTGTGTGCATTTGAAGATCTGTGCAACAGCCCTAGGAATCATTCCCATGGTTTCTTCATTGGACTCCACAGGACCTTCCATCGTGTATGTTTTCCCACTGCCTGTCTGACCATATGCAAAAATGCACACATTGTAACCATCAAGAGCACTTTGTACCATTTGTGATATCTCCTCAAATACTCGCATTTGGCTGGATGATGGATTAAAGACTTGATCAAATGTAAAAGAATACTTGCCACCACTTAGCTTTCGTTGTCCTGGACAATTCTAAAATAAAAGCAGAAGATTTATGTAAAAAAAAAATGAGAAGTAAAGTTGCTCAGGTTTACATCAAACCCCTAGTACCTCTTCTCCAATCAAGGTTCATTGGTTATTTCAATGCACTTCTTTTTTAGTGGTTTATATTCTAAAAACCTCAAAATGATTGATATGCATGTACTGCATTGCTTCTCTCACAAGTTTCACTTCGAGTCTGAGCTACCTGGTAAACTGGTGCTAGCTACTCTTGTCTGTCCACCACAGGTGCTGTTTGGACCTGTATACCAAGGTAACCCGCTACTGCACTTGTCCTGAAAGATCAGCGCACATGAGCAAATTGTGTACACTGGGCCTACAATTCACAGTCATCCGAGAAGAGTTGTGCCGCCACCAGAACCACAGACCAGCCTGCCGCTTAAGCAGGGCACTCACTGCACAAAACAATCGCTGGCCGACGCGATTCTATAAAAAACGCAACGCGACGATGAGCACGCAACGGATGGTTTTTAATGGAGATCCATCGTATCATATAACTCTAACAGGAAGCGGAGTGATGGCCATATAACCGTCGTACAGTGCAGTGGGTACAAATTTTTGTTGTAAATTGGTTTAATTAAAATGTAACTCATTCTTATGTCAATTAAAATAAAATTATGAAGAACCTATGTCAATATACAAAAACATGCCAAAAACCCCTATTAAGGGGACAATTTTATGTTTTTGGTCAGTGTTAAGGGGACACTTTTTTTGGTCACGAAGGTGTTCCCTTAATAGAGGTTCTACTTTATATATGAAAAAATATATTAAGCAATATTCACCTCATCTACTTTATCCATCTCCAGGGTTTTTCCATCAATTCCATTAAAATGCAGATGACTGATCTCCGCACATGTATCCTTTTCAGATGGCAATAAAGGGCGCACTCTACAAAATACCCTTATGTTTCCCTAAAATTGTTTGAAAGAAATCAAGTTTTGTTTTATCATTAAAAATTGCAGTAACACAAATCATAGTACCTGTATACAGCAATTATTTAAGAAATTGTAGAAAATACTGAATTTGTATGACAGATCAACAAAGCGACTCGAAGTGTGGTTTACATTTGTATTGTGTGATAGCAATGATAACTGAAAAGAAGTTATTATAAGGGGAGAATGAATAAATGCATGTGGACATCATCATAAGTGAATAAATGTATATGATACAAAGTACTGTAATGTTGTCAGCTGTGACAAGTAGGGTCAAGACAGCAATGCAGTATTCAAAAATCTATATCTCATCAACCGTTTCCAAGTTTCCGGTCAAACATCACTTAAAAAAATCAGTTGCACAACATATCAAAACATGTTTCCCTTCAGAGCATGGCTTTAAGTTATTTGTGAATGAAAAGATTGCTTTGTAAAAAATATGAAAATTAATGAACATGATTCTATTTTCTTTGTGAGACAATCAGCATGAAACTTTATTTTTTTAAAATAATTCTATCATACTATAAATACCTTTAGTTCTTGGACAGTGTTGTGTAACTTTCTCCTCACTGCTTCTGCCTCTTGCAGGTTTGATTCTAGTTCTTGAATTGTACTGTTATGCTTGACTATTGTATTATTTAGGCCGTTGATCACTCCCTCCTGGTGTTTGCAAGTCTGCTGTGCTTGCTCAAGAATGCCCCTGATGGATGATAGTTCAGTCTCCATGCCTACCCGAGCTGACGTCATCTGTGCAATTTTACACTTGAGTCCAATGCACTCTTGATTAGATACCTCTAGTTCTCCCTCTAGTGATTTCTTTTTGATCTCCAGTGTGGAATTACGCGACTCTAGATCTTCTGTTACACACTGGTGCCTACGCTTAACAGAAGCAGCTTCATCCTCCAGATCCCTGGAAAAGAGAAATAATATTTTTGACATTATAATACTTTTGATTTTAAATTGAAATAATATTATCTGGATACATAAATATGATTATCATAGATGTCAGACCAGGCTAGATGTTGTAACAACACCAGTTTGCTATAGAAAGTGAACCATTGTATTACTGCAGCATAAAATGATATTGTAAAATCACCAATTGGGTGAGAAAAAAAAAGGAAGACTTAATAATTGTGATATTACTGTTAGTTATTATTATTTATATATGAATTTACTGTACTCTTTACTGTTGTATTTTATTATGCCTTTTGATACTTGATAGCCTTAAATCCACAATGCGGTTAATACTGCATTTTAAAATGATGTCAAGTTATATTTCATCCATTAAATAAATCCTAAACAATACCTTTTTTAAAGTCAAATTTTATTTCATATTTAATGGTAAAGTTTAGAAACGTTTCTTATAACCTGATCTTTCTTTGCAGCTCGTTTATTGTTTGACAATTCTCTGACAGCATATGATCTTTCTGGGCCACAGTTCCCTTCAGACGTTCGTTTAACATCTCAACCATTTGAACTCGTTGGTTATTCTCAGAAAGATTATGTTCCAAGTGGTTGTTTGTTGAGATCCGCATTTCCATCATCTTTTCCATGTCAGACAGACGACCTTTCAGATCCCAAGCCGGCCTTTTCTTTGGTGCTGTTGATGCTTCTGAAAAATGTAACCGCATTATTAGAAACACCATTGCACACTGTATAAGTGCTCTGTGTGTTTTGTTGATATTTTCATTTGCCTACATGCTTTTGTTAATGTCTGTTCATAATCTTTTTCTCACAATTGTCTAGAATTGAATAACGGTGCTAAGATATGGATTATGATAAATTATATTTATGATAATTATTATAATAACTGTACTTTTAGTCGTTGTAGTAGCAGGCTTACTGGGAGGCCTACTTGAGATGGCTGGCTTCGAGGAAACAGTTGAGCGAGCTAAAAAGAAATAATAATTTTAGAAAATCATATAACAAAAAAAAAAGGATTATAATTTTCTCTTGAACATAACGTGGCTTATATAAGTCAGTAGTAATAACTTATAAAAGCATACATACCAGGAGGTTTTCTCACTGGTTGTTTCCTAACTGTGGTGGTGTTGCCAGGAGCCATTGCCTTCCTTACTCCAACTGTTCCTTTAGGAATACCAGTTCCACTCTTAACAGATGGAGCCTCTATTTTTGTCTTTTTTGCAGCACTGCCTCGGGCATCTTCCGCTAGAGGGCGCTTGAACTGAGGCTTCGGAAGTTTGGACATGACTGGGAGTTTACTGGTTGGTCGAACTGTTGCCACCGGGGCATTGGCATCACGAGCGCCAAGAGCTGGTCTTGCCTTTGAAACAAATAATTCACATTGAAATAAACAAATTTCATACTGCAGATCTTAATCTGGCTAAAAAACATACAGATAAATGAATAAATGAGAAAAAAGAACATAAAAATAAATGAGATTACCACATTTGAACTGGAAGACATTTTTGGAGAAAATCTGTCTTGATCTGCAAAAAACAAGTTGAAAATAATAGTTTGAAAATCAAAGCTGTAATTAATCTGGGTAGCGACAACTAAGGCCTAGCCTAGGTCTATCTGCATTGTCTTAATAATATTTTACAATCACTTGCTTGTCACATGGGCCATGGCTTTTAACTGTATGAAAGTGGCTTTAGTCTTCTTTTCATTACAGTACTTTAAAAATCATCTAAATGTAATCAATCCTTTTTTTACAGACACCTGAACTTGGATTTGTGGTTTTTATAACTTTATTGTCTTACGATTAGGTCTATGTACTCATGTCTTGTGTTTTAATGTGAATAAAGGTGAAAATGTGTTTTTCTTAATTTATTAAAAGATTTTTTGTTAATGTTTAAGCATTATTTTCAGATTTTAATCCATTCTGTAAGTGGCGGATTTCCCCCTGTTGAACAAGAAGAATGTGAATAAATAAAAATTGACTGATCGCACGATGATGATCAGAATTTTACTACAATATACTGTGTACAATTTCAATCATATTGAAAAAAGGGATGCAAAAACTGAGCAATATTTACAACAACTCATTTTAATAAATTATTTTATTCCATAACCTGTTATAAATAACTTGTGGCCAAGTTGGCTTGTGGGCGAGTTGACTGTGGCCAAAAAATAGCTAGGAAAACAGGTGAGTGGAATTGTAATTGGTGCATAATTGCATTGGTTATAGATTGACATTTGGTCAAAGCGTAATTTTCGACAAAACCTGCAGGAAATCGGCTCTTATTTTCCGAAATGCGCAGACGGATTTCTAGGCCAAAATGTTGTGTGGGGATATATTCCCCGCGCAGTCTTTACTTTACTACTAGTACTAGGCCTATACAGTCTGGGCCGAGTTTACTTGTGGCTGAGTTGACCTGCTTCCATTCATACCCTTTAGGCTAGTGGCTAGGCCTACTACTAGACTAGTAGGCTGGGACCTGCCTAACTAGGCTAGGCCTAATACTACTGTCTGTACTAACTAGCTAGGCCTGACCTATCTAGGCCTATATTTTCTATATGCCTACTCTACCACATTATTATCTATCTACTGTATTAAGTCTAAATAAATCCACTACTGTCTGTACTTAGTAATAGTTGTCTTTATTTACTAGCGCAAGCCTATTCTAGAGCCTAGATAGGCCTAGAAAGGCCTACTATTCTCAGGCCTCCTAGACTAGGCCTAGCCCACGTCCTACTAGTAGTAAAGTAGCCTAGGCTAGGCTTAGCTAGGCGAAATCCGGCTAGGCCTAGCCTAGCCTACTACTACTACTACTAGCCTTGACTGTCCGTATTATTAAAAAGAATATCATTCAAACCATAATTATTTGTAAAACATTCCCACTTACCAAAGATATTAATTAATGCTTTACTTGTTGTGTTTAAGTACACAGTTTGGAGAACTAGGATAACCCACACTTCTAACACACCACACCACACCAGTTACTTGGGGTATTTTGAATCGTTGCACAAAAAATGAATGGGATTGTTGATTGGTCAATTATACAGAGAAGCTTAATAGAGGGCGGTATTCACGTGTGAAGTTCGGTTTTGCTCTGAACACGCATGGAGTGAAAGTGCTCGAAATTTTCATTATTTTGAAGTTAAACAACATGTCAAAGATAAGGAGAAAAGTTGTTACTGATGATTCGGTGTGTTCTATTTGTTTCAATATAGGCCTAGGCTTGAACTACGAAGCTAGCAGCGTAGGCTAGGCCTGACCTCTTGGCTCGCTCAAGAATAAGATAGATAGGCCTAGAGGCTACTGCCAGGACTGCCTGCAGCTACTAGGATAGTACGGGTGCAGGTCAACTCGGCCACAGTCAACTCGGCCACAGTCAACTCGGCCACAAGTCAACTCGGCCACAAATCAACTCGGCCACAAAAAGTTCGGCTACAGCCAACTCGGCCACGAGCCAACTCGACCACAAGTCAACTCGGCCACAAGTCAACTCGGCCACAAGTTATTTAATGTAAATCTCTGTAGTTTTTGCATCCTTTTTCTTCAATATCATGATTAAAATAAAGTACAGTATATTTTAGTAAAACAGGACCACCACACTACCAAAAGAGATTTGAATGCTATTGCCATAGAATTAAAAAGTGTTATTTATTAATGTGTTCGTCTTCCGTTTACTCACAACATTCTACTTCAACAATAATATTAAACAACAATAACGACAATAAATTAATATTTACTTTAATAATACTAATTAGTCATTATGACGATAATAAAGGTGATAACAACAACAACATTAATAGTAATATTTATTTTAACAATACTAATAGTAATAATACTAGTATGGAAAATTATTTATTATTTATATGGTACTGTAATAATAATATCAGCAAAAATTTGAACAATACCGTATATAATGTTAATGCTAAGACTAATAATTAATATTAAAACTAACGGAAATAAAAACAACAATGACAACAATAATAACAGCAATAATAATAACAATAAGTATAGTAATACTTAAAGAATTAGTATTTTATACTTGATGAATTACTCCTTCAAATTGTAGTACCAGTAAATGAATTGTGGCCGAGTTGACTGTAGCCAAACTTTTTGTGGCCGAGTTGACTTGTGGCCGAGTTAACTTGTGGCCGAGTTGGATCGAATTCGATAGTACTACTAACTAGGCCTATTTTGATTCAGATATTGTTTATTGTCATAACAATGTCATGAGATTTGTTTTCCTTGCTACATCAAAATACAAGATTGATACGGATAATGGTAGTGATATGAAAGGAGGGTTAATTAAAAGTACAGCAATTTGTAATACACGTGTACCTCTAGACACATCACAGCATACATTTTTTTTCTTTTTTTTTGATAATTTCCAAATACCGTATTTTCATTTTAGGATGAGTCTATGGATGAAGATGCCACTCAGAGTCAGACTCAGACACTGACTCAAGCTCAGAAAGTGACAGCCACCTTATCTCATGATGTCATCAATAACATGGTTAGTGAGGTTGTCCAGTACATGCTCGTGATGGAGCAGAAGAAACTGCCAATAAAGAGAGCAGGTTTGTGTAATAATATGTACATATGAGAAGGTGGTGTGGAATTTTAAAATAAAGGTGATAAAGCTTGGGGTTCCAATGCTTGAAAATCCAGGATGCGCTCGAATGCTAGTTATCATAAGTTTGAGGTTGATCAACCTCAAACTTCATCTGCTCCATGCAACATAGTTTGCCTCTTATGGATGCGAGTCATGGACTATGACCAAATATGACTGGTGCAGGTTGATGATTTTGAGATCAGGGGTGGTGCCAGCGGGAGGCCCAGAGCCCCCCTGCCATGCAATTCCTCCTGTACAGTGTATCAGTCAGTGTTTCAGTTGACAATTTTGTGGCACCGATCACCAATTTTTTTTTCTATTGTGAAGGTCTTGGTATAATTTACAGTTAATTAAAATAAATTACAAATGTTATGTTCGGGCGTCTAGAACACAAAAATTTCGCGGGGGCATGCCCCCAGACCCCCTACGACAGTGTTGTCTCAATCGGCCCAACTTTCGGCCCCCCCTTTTGGACATTTCTGGATCCGCCCCTGGGTGGTGTCAGCGGGAGGCCCAGAGCCCCCCTGCCATGCAATTCCTCCTGTACAGTGTATCAGTCAGTGTTTCAGTTGACAATTTTGTGGCACCGATCACCAATTTTTTTTTCTATTGTGAAGGTCTTGGTATAATTTACAGTTAATTAAAATAAATTATATCATTTGGTTACAGATATAAATAAGCATGTATTGAAGGACTACAGTCGAGCATACACAGAAATCTTTCGTCAGGCAAGTGACAGACTCAAAACAGTTTTTGGATTGGAGGTGACAGAGTTGGAACTGACTTCAACAAAATCCAAGAGCAAAGTATACATACTGCTGAATACATTGGATGCTGAAGCACAGGCAGATGTTGTTGATATGTAAGTCAACACAGTCCTAAATGTTTTGAATTGAGAGGGTGTATGAAGTTTGGTTAATTAAGGTGAACTCACCAGAAAATTCAACTCACATATTATCATCACTAACATAAAGCTATCTTCATACCAAGTACCGCACAATGTGAGTTAGTATAATACCGTATGAAAAATATTATACAAAAAATAAATGTTTATGAGTGCTATGGGAAGAATATTTCCATGAGTTGAAAAATTGACTGTTCCATTCAGTGAGGTAGGGCTGAGTTGAATTGAATAGTCAATCTTTAAATTTATGAAAATATTCTTTCATTGTGCGAATAAAAAACATTCATTATTTGTTTTATAACACACCTGAAATAGATTCTTGTCAATTATTATTTTATGATTGACTTTTTAACCAATGAAAAGATTGCATTAGGTTGAGGCATGCAATGGAGCGAAATGGATGGAACTAAAAATGCATGGTGGGACTAAATTTACTTATTGATTGACGAAATGGTGTAAATAACCAATGTCATGTGATACGAAATCCACAAATCAAATGGCAATGATCTATTTTGGTGCATTATAAACTAAAATTAATCATGTCTTTACAGGTCGATGGAAGAACCAAGGATGGCCCTTCTCTTGATTGTCCTCAGTATCATTTTCATGAACCAGGGAGAAATGATAACTGATAGTAAGTATATGGTGATGCAGCATAACCAATTTAACAAAGTTTCTTTACTTCTTATTCTGTTTGTTCAGTGCGAATCTGTGATCTGAATCTGTCATGTCAATTTGTGTAAAAATGAAAAGTGCTGCAACAATTTTTTAGATGTATGAAATGCATGGTATAGACACTATCACAATTGTGCAGCGGTGAATTTATTTAAGGTTTTTAATTGTTTTCTTTGCAGCAATACTTTGGCATATTCTAAAGAAGTTGGGTATAAATGCAGATGAGTAAGTACCTCTCCTGATTCCCACCTCTTTATTTCAATTAATTGAAATCAATTTTTTGAGCATTTGGCCGAGCATTGCATCTACTTTTTTTAAATTACGTTTTATTATAGAAAGGAACATGAAGTGTTTGGAGATGTTAAGAAGATTCTGACCACTGACTTTACTAAGCAGTTGTAAGTTCTAAATTTCTTCTTTTTTTAAAAATAAATATATCATTTATAATTTTTATTCTGGCTTGAATTTTGTTAAGTTTAGGTTATGATGACGAAAACAATATTAAGTAATAGAATTAATGATAGCAATATATCATCATTGCTAACTTGCTTTCCTTGTGACTGCCAATACCTTACCCAGTTGCTAATATTGATACTTTTTGATTGTTACTTTTATTATTTTCCTAAGGTACTTGGAATACACTAGAGTACCAAATTCTGAGGTACCATTGTACGAGTTCAGGTGGGGTTTAAGAGCACAAAAGGAAATCTCCAAGCGTAAAATATTAGAATTTGTCTGCAAGGTTTGTAAAATAAAATCATTCATTTTTATCATGTTGAACAAGTTGTTCACTCAGGACAGATAAAAACAAAAGCGACCGATTACCGGTCTCCGCATTCCTCCACGCTTACAATACAGACGCAAGTTATTATATTGGGTTTTTTGGAAGAACTAACAAGATAGAAATTTTTAAATAATTAGAATGTTTATTTGTACAAAACGAATTATTATTTAGAATGTTCATTTGTACAAAATTAAAATATCTTAAAATTGAGGGGAAAAAAATAGAATACCGAGATGCTATTCAAACTCACAACCTTTAGTTCTTTAGAACACATACTTAACCCACCATGCCGTCCATGCGATGTGCCCTGTTAGTTGTAATGGCAGTAATGTACAGTCCTTGCTGAAACCCCTATTTTGTTTTGTAGGTGTATGGGGAACCCTGAGATCCAACTTAAATCACCTAGTTTTTGTGTACAAAATTACCTGCATGTCCGTTCAAAATTGGCGAAGGTAGAAGGTAGCAGTGAGGCTCTGGGGTCAGCGCATTGCATAGACCCAAATATTGGTTCTATAATGTAATTGTGTAATTTGTTTGTAATTTTTTCCCCCTTCCAATTAGGTTTATGGTAATATGAGGCCAGAAGACTGGAACACACAGTACAAGGAAGCGGTACAATCTGAAGGCGGAATCTTGGAACAGGAAGCAGAGGGAAGTGATGACGAATGATGCTTTATGATGGATAATCAGGTCATAATAGAATTTTACATCACAGGAACAATTTTTCCCCCTTCCGATTAGGTTTATGGTAATATGAGGCCAGAAGAGTGAAACACGCAGTACTATCTGAAAGAAGTGATGACGAATTATGCTTTGTGATGGATAATCAGGTCATTGTTGAAGTTTAAATCATGGGGCTGCTGTGGTATTTATAAATCTGACATATCCTGGATTTTCTGATTGTACTAATTAATGCCATTATGTGGTGGAATTACCCAAGCACAGCGACATTAGAAAATTATATAAAATTTTGTTTTCTTATTTAAAAAATGGTTTTGCCAAAAACATCCGGACAGAAGAAAAATAAAAATAAAATTTTATTGGTGAATATAAACAGTGTAGTAATGGGATGGTTAAATGCTTTAAATTTATATAATTAGGAAGAAATATACATATCTTACTTTTGGAGATTTCAAAGCAGCAGCAGACGTAAGGAAAAATTTTACAATATTTTTTTCTGAAATTACCATTAGCAAGCTTTCGTTTCAGTACGGGAGAAATCTAGTACGGTAATTAGAGCCGAAAATTCATTTGCGCATGCGTGAAAGATTGCATCTCACCGTACGGCGGAATTTGAGGACGGTTCTGACTGAAAATAGCGTCCTAGCCTAGGCCCTAATTTATTAAGGTACGTCCGGCCTAGGCCTAGCCTATAATAATGCCTACGCAGTGACAAGTGCCTCTTGAACTATGTGCAAGTTCGCCATGTTTTGGTAACTAAAGTGAGGGCGCGTTCGCACGCATATTCCCCCGTCGCGTAAACGGAAACGAAACAACTTCTGAACAGGACGGAAGCTTGGTTGCGAGTACGGTCACGGTCTGTTGGTTCCACCGTACTGTGCGCTCACCGTCCTCAAACGAAAGCTCGGTACTTTTCGTGGCGATGGTGCCCTAATTGGCCGAAAATAAAATTTTATTTTTATTCGAAATCATCTTTGTTGGCGGGTTTGCTAAACAAGGTATATGAAAGTCTTGCCTAACTGAAGTATACACTAACGAGAACAAACATTTTCAAAATGCATTTTGTAACAATCATTTGTAAATACTGTAATAAAAATGAAATAATGTGCTTTCGTAATAGTTTTTATACATTATTCATTGAACTTTTGCTTACGTTCAGACATACATTCAATAGAATAGTTAGTAAGAATACCTTGTTAAAAGTGTACATAACAAGTAAAGTAGTTTTGTGTGCTTTTTAAATTTGTGTTTGGTTGTCATATTTTTGAATTAAGTCAACAGCATGTTGTCATGTTTACATATATACACTGATTATTATTACAATTATAAAATTACAGTATATAGTGCATATAGTTATATAAAGCATGCTCCAAAACATACATATTTACACAATATACAGAGTATTATACAAGAATAGAAGATACAGTAGTTACTTTATTTTTTTATTTATTCTAACAGCGATAACATCCGCCACTAACTGGTTAAAGTACCTGTTAGTGGCGATTGTTATCGCTGTTGGTTAGTTTTTTTTCTATACTTAAGTATTGTAGAAGATTCTTTTAACTGATCTACAAAAATAAGGTGCCTTAGCTTAGAATTCTCCATCAACTAATTACACTATACAGTATGGTTAGTAATGGAGTTGTTTTCCCATACCTGGTGAGAGATCTCTCAGCTGATCTAAGAAACACCAAGGTTTCTTAGTTTAAGCTAAGCTTGTGTTGTTGCGACTCGAGTTATCTCAACTAGTTGCTGGTAGCATTAATATGAATTTCACACACAATCATGCAGCTATTTGGAGGAAGACAACACACAAATTATCTGTCATACATTCAAAGGAGACTCTTTAATTCCTGTCTGCAAACAGACAGGAATGGAAAAAGCTAGGGGTCGCCTGCACAGCAGTTGAATGATGATGTAAAACTAGTACAGTAATTGACAGTAATTGGGAATTGAAGGCGTGCATCTAAACCACCATCCTGACCGATACATTCAACTGCGCAACATTCTACACTGCCCCTATAAATGAATAAATTATAGAGGGTGCAGAGACAAATATGAAAGGTTCTCAAGACTCCCGCAAATTGGGACTGCCTCGCCCGCAAAAATCTACCGGAAAATGCCCCATCCTCCGCAATTTTATAATATTTGCATGTTTTTACAGTACTGTACTCCTTTCTTTATTAATTGTCTCACAGCAATTGATGATGATGGGTTTCACCATCAACAGGAAAATAAAATGAGATGTACCATGGAGGTCAAGGGTTTAGCCAGAAGAACGAAATAGGCCGTCCAAAATGGAAGCCAGTGGGCGTGGCCCTGAGACGATAGGCGAGCCACGCCAATCTTTGGGAATCCCCACTAAATATTGGTACGAAAACAAGGTACATTCAATCAATAAATGTTGTTTTTATCAAACTTAAATTTGATTTAGCTTTAGCTTAATGTAACATTCAATAGATTTGAAGAAAATAAAGAATTTTCTAAAGGTAGACCAGGCCCAATTAGGCTAGGCCGAGCTGATTAGGCCAAGCTGTCACAGTAAAAGTTGCCATCATAAATAATTGTAGGCCATCCAAAAGATGGCTGGATGGCTCGCTGTCTAAGCCTGTGATGGAGGTGTAGCTCATTTAATCAGATCTCACAGAAATGACTTCTTCCAACTTGGGACACTTGATTATAGGCCCTTTCAGATAGATGTTGCCGCAACATTGCGGTAAGCATGCCGGGATAATAACCAGTCTATACCCTTTCACACAGTACCTTTGTTATGGCAATGTTGCGGTAATCTTGCGCTTTTCTGTCTGTAAGGGTCCTATAGAATGGCGCAATTGTTTTCAACTTTAACCTTGTTTGTTTATGCATAAATGCAGTGGCAGCACCATCAGGGGGGCTCAAGCCCACCCATCGGCCAAAGCTCGTCAGGCAGTTGGACCAAAAAAAAAAGAAAGAAATGGGCCTAGTTTTCCCATCCTAGCCATTTCCGGCCATCTAGAAATCCCAATATTTTAAAAAAATCTCGTTTTGGGAGGAGAGACACCTCCTCCCATACCCACCCCTAGCTCGGGCCTTCGGATCTCAGATAACTCTGCATGCTATAGTTACACCCATAAATACTTAGCCGCAGTCGGACACCTTAGCCCCCCCCCCCCAATAAATGATATCCTAGAGCCGCCATTGACAACTGACGCAACTGAATGAAAAATTTAGGGCAATTAATTTAATTGGACAATATGAGAAAAATCAGCAAATTTATTTTAAAAAGTGTACAGAGAGCTGTGCTACATAAATCCCTCATCATTTACTGCACACTACTAGTAAACCGTTACCGCAATATTGCGGCAATATTACTAGGGTGCAAAGTGGCTCAAAGTAAGCCGGCACATTGGCGTATCGACCCTTTCGGACAGAAACCCATGCCGGCGTGCTCACCGCAATATTGTGGTATTGCAGCTGTGGGGCTTATAAAAGCAATGCATGCGAGTAGACCTATGGTATTGTCACCAACCTTAAAAAAAGTGACTGTTAATGACAATATGAATACTACAGTAACAGATATAGATAAAATATTGCAAATCTATATATATATATCTTATACAAGTTCTATATACAAATTAATGCACTGTAAAAAAGCTAAACATACATTAAAAAAAAAAATATAATAAAATATTATAATAATGAATGCTCTCGATTATTCCATCTTGGTAGGAATTTTACAAGCAGTTACAAAGTTCCTAATCTGTTTATCCAGCCATGTCTTGTGTTTCAGTTGATCTCGCCAAGAGGCAGGTAGGGCCGCTGCTCCCAGTTTGCAACCTAACAGAGCACCAGCTACAGCACCATTTGTATCAGCATCTCCAGCCTACAAAACAAAAAGCATCAAAGTAAATTGATTCTTATGTATTGTAGCCTTGCATTAATTTTACTTTTATATATGAGTTGAGATAACTTTTATCAATATTAATATCAATGATACTGTGTCGATACTTTTTTAAATAATAACAAATGATTAAACAAAACTTTCGTCAAAAAAAAAAGAAATTAAAAAATCAAAAACTAATAAGTAGTTACTTTAAGTTTGTTGATGCTACATGTCATACGCAAGAAGAATATCAATATCATTATTCATATTATTATCAATTATGTTTATTATATTTCAATGTGTAATTGTCAGCTATTTAAACGTCACTAAAACAAGTACAGGGTGGATTTGGGGGGCCCCAGACTGGCCCCGGCCCCACTTTTGGAAAGTAAAAGGAAAGAAAAAGTAATAAATGATCACCCTCAGAGGTTATTTAGTGTTGTTATAGTGTTGTCTTTCGATCGCAACCCCCTTTCAATCACCTCAGTCCATTGTTTTGGCAGACAAGCATCAGAAAATTAGATAATTAGACGATAGAGAAAAAAAGAGTAGAATTTTAATTGTAAAGCTTTGAAATATAGGATATGTGGAACATTTTGTATGAAAATTACAAATAAAAAAATATTAGGGGGTGGGCTTACACCCAAGGAACTCTAAGTTATAGTCTTAAAAAAAAACTATTCTGTCAAACCTTACCTCCATAGTAATGGCTTCAATTGCATCCCTGAAGTTGTCTTGTCTAAATGCCCAGAATCCTGCTCCAAGACATTTGTATGTGTAGCCAATCTTTCCAACCTCAGCCAAATTTAGGTCATCTAGAGAATCGGCAAACATGTGTCGTCTCAATTCAGCAATCTACAAAGAGTTTGTAATTTGAATAATTGTGTCCAAAATAAAATTCATTTGAAAAGGATTATTTAAATGAAAAAAAATGCATGGATGGCTAAAAGCACAATATTGAAAACTAACCAGGGATGACGCCAGTGGGGGTATGTTCCAGGGGAGAGCTGGCCCCCGTTCGGGAGAAAACCCACAATTCGCTAGGGAGAAAAAAAATGTATTTTATACATACTAGTATACTCTAAAATCGATTAAATAAGCCTTTGAAACCCCTAAATTATCATATGTATTTTATACATATTAAACTTTAAAATTGATTATTAAGCCTTTGAAACCTCTATATTGTAAAATTTTTTATGGCACTTTTGAGGGATTTTGAGCAACACATGACCACGCCTACTTTTTCTCCCCGTTGGGCCAATCCTGGTGCCACGCCTTAAAGATCAAATAATAACCAAAAGTAATAATATAAATTACATACAGCATCTGGGTCTTCATTTCCATTTTCCAATTTTGATAAACATACTTTGGCATAATTAAATGCATCTTCTGACAATTTACTGACATCATATGATGCATCCTTAAAGTATTTTCCCTGCAGCATCATCGCTATGGCAGTTGTCACGGCAACAGTTGAAGCTTGACATCTATTGGGAGAGTAATTACAGTATAACAGTATTTGTATTTGGGCACAATGATGGCATTTACAACAGCTAATATATATAAATATAACAATAACATACAAATGATCACAGAAATCATCAAATTAAATTTTATAAAAATAAACCTCCCCCCACTGGCGTCATCCCTGGTTAGTTTTCAATATTGTGCTTTTAGCCATCCATGCAATTTAAAAAACATTAAGTTTCAATTATAACAAAATTATTATTTCATCAATATACAATATATAATAAAAAATGAAATTTGCATTCAGAAAATTAACAATTATTTACATCAAAATTATAAAGACTACAGTATATCAAATAAGGGCATTACTGTACATGCAAAAGAGAACCAAAGAATTAACTTTAGATAGTTAGAAATTAAAAGAAAAAAGATTGTTGAAATATTAAACTCACAGATACAGTTAATTCAATATCTCATGTAAAGTTTTCTAACTTGTTCTTTCTATTTATAATAATGATGGTTGTATAT